GATGCGGAAGGAAGATCTCTAGCCAGGTCATGGAATGTGGCTAACTTGAAGAAATATTATGCTTAAAATTTTTCCTTTTATTTATAAAGAAACTCGATGGAACCAATGTAATGAATTCCTTTACTTGATAATCAATGAAGTGGCGTACTGGAATTTCTACAATTTATTGTTTATCGAATTATTTTATATAGCTGGAATTCCTGGATTAACCCTGATGACATGTGATTTGAAAAAAATCCATCATGAATAAGGCCATGAGGCTGGATGGTCGATGTAACGACCACCCCTTTGAGGGTGGGCATGTGTTCGAAGAACAAAAATCCATCAAGAATAAGGCCATGAGGCTGGATGGTCACATGTAATGACCACCCCTTTGAGGGTGGGCATGTGTTCGAAGAACAAAAGTCCATCATGATTAAGCCCACGAGGCTAGATGGTCGCATTTAACGACCACCCCTTTGAGGCTGGGCATGTGTTCGAAGAACGAAAGTCCATCATGATTAAGGCCATGAGGCTAGATGGTCGCATGTAACGACCACCCCTTTGAGGGTGGGCATGTGTTCGAAGAACGAAAATCCATCATGAATAAGGCCATGAGGCTGGATGGTCGCATGTAACGACCACCCCTTTGAGGGTGGGCATGTGTTCAAAAATAAAAATCCATCATGAATAAGGCCATGAGGCTAGATGGTCGCATGTAACGACCACCCCTTTGAGGGTGGACATGCGTTCAAAAAAAAATCCATCATGATTAAGGCCATGAGGCTGGATGGTCGCACGAACGACCACCCCTTTGAGGGTGGACATGTGTTCGAAGAACGAAAATCCATCCTAAATAAGGCCATGAGGCTGGATCGTCGCATGTAACGACCACCCATTTGAGGGTGGGCATGTGTTCAAAAATAAAAATCCATCATGAATAAGGCCATAAGGCTGGATGGTCTCATGTAACGACCACCCCTTTGAGGGTGGGCATGCATTCGAAAAAAAATCCATCATGATTAAGGCCATGAGGCTGGATGGTCGCACGTAACAACCACTCCTTTGAGGGTGGGCATGTGTTCGAATAAAAATCCATCATGAATAAGGCCATGAGGCTGGATGGTCGCATGTAACGACTACCCCTTTGAGGGTGGGCATGCGTTCGAAAAAAAAAATCCATCATGATTAAGGCCATGAGGCTGGATGGTCGCATGTAACGACCATTCCTTTGAGGGCGGGCATGCGCTCGAAGGAAAAATCCGTCATGAACAAGGCCATGATGTAACACCCCGCTGACTGATATACCAGAGTACGCGGTTTTTCGCAAATATTCTG